GTGCTAGTTAAACCTAGCTTCCGCACAAAAAGTGCAATTTGGTCTGCATTAAATTAGGCCGATGATTTTATTATTATTATTTGCTAAAATTATTTTTTTTGGTTACAAAAAAAGGAAACTTTCTATAAGATAGGCAAACTCTGAGGTAAAATGGCTTAAGTTCCTTTTTTTTTTTCACTTAAAAGGTAGCAGTTTCATTAGTAAAATTTTGTATAATTATTGGTCTAATCTTTTGTCGCGCATTTTTTGTGCGGCATTCATGTACATTTCATGATCATTTTTGATGATCGGCAAGAGGAAGGATTCGTTGACAATCCGTTTGTACGTAATTGTTAGATGATACTGTGTGAATACTTACATGGTTATATAGTTCAAGACCTGTAATTTTTAAAAATTTAAAGAGAATTTGTAATTGTATTTGTAGTTTTTCTCAATGTCGTAAAAACGTAAAGAATTATTTGAAGTGAACAAAGTTCCAACTATTGTAAAACAACTTAACTTTGCAAAAACAACAGTTCAAGACGTAATTAACTTTTATGACAAGCTAGTGAAATAAAATCTCTTGCTCGAAGTGGAAGGCAACCCGTATTAAATGATTATGATAACAATAAACGTCACTTAGTTCGTATCGTAAAAAATGATCGTAAGATTAGTTTGAATGTTTTGCAAAATGAATTCTTGCAATCGACCTCTGAAAATGTATCCACACGTACTCTACAACATTACCTTTATGAAGAAGGTTTCTATGCTTGCGTCGGCAAGAGAAAACCATTCGTTAGTGAAACTGAATCAGAAGGTTCGTCGAGACTGGGCAACGGACCGTTTGAATTGGACTTCGAAGTGGGATACCATTATTTGGAATGACGAATCCCGTTTTGAGGTGTTTAGAGGTGATGATCGCAATTATGTTTGTTTACCTAATGAAATATGATATAAATTGTCTTGTGCCAACTTTTAAATCGGGTAAAAGAGTGTGATGGTATGGGATGTTTATTGTGGATGGTTTAGGTCCGAGTTGACGACTGACAAACTTCGAGAGATTATGTTGAACTTTTGGAAATTCATTTGTTACCTTTTTAGAAATTCTTGATACAAATTTAGTATATACTTTTCAAGATGGCAATGCACCAATCCATCGGGCACGGATAGTACATAACTGGTTTCAAAGAAATCTGATCGCCAATCTTCCTTGGCTCACCAAGAGTCCAGACCTCAATTCTATTGATCATTTTTGTGATGAATTGGGGCGTCGGGTTTGTGGGCGTATTCCATTGCCAACTAATGAGGCTGAACTTACAGCAGAGACCGTTAATGTTACACATATATTAAAACTGTTGAGGGATTATATCCATCACAATTGAATCCAACATAAATAATTTAATTTGTGATTGATCACAGGCGAGAGGGATTCACTTTGGATCGGGCACTGTCTCTGCTGTTGGCTGAACTCTTTTCATTTTGGTACGTACAATTTGGATGAATCTTTTACCATAAATTGATTAGTAGCATGCCTGATCGTTGTCATGCTATAAAAAAGGCTAGAGGATACCCTACAAAATATTAAATATATAAATAAATATTAGACATATATGGTTACATCTTTCTAAAAAAAAATTTTATAATGCTTATTTTGTTTTTGTTAAATCGATCTATTCACCAAAATGATCGTCAGCCGGTGGCTTCTGTCAAGGAGTAAAACGAATATCTGACCAATGGTAAGAAGTTGCTGTTATTGTTACCAAATAAAGAAATAAGTAAAATTTAACATATAAGTACGTACGTAGTACTTTTCCCATACATAAGAAAAAATTCAATTATTACTAACTTTGCAATGAATACAATTGTGACTCTTAACGTTGGTGGTGTACTCTATACTACTACAAAAGACACACTTTTGAAACATAAAAGTTTCTTCTCAGGCCTTTTCAGTAATAATTTTTCAATCTCTCTTGACAGTAACGGTAATAGTTTCATTGATCGGAATGGAGAGTTGTTTAAATATGTACTCGAATTTTTAAGAAATAATGCTTTGCCGAAAAGAACTATTTCCAACAAAGCATTACTCGAGGAGTTATTACAAGAAGCCGAATTTTATTGTATTGAAGATCTCATCGCTGAAATAAAAAAATCTATACTAAACAGTGATGAACAAGGTGATAAGAAGATAAGAATTTATGAACTCGAAGTTTACTCGAAAAAAGGTTTTCATGTAATTGGAAGAGGAATAGAACCCATTCGTTATAATATATGTCCTCATAGGCATGATCCTCCACGAATTGGCAAAGATGAATATCATGATTCTAATTGCAAGCATTCACATGTTGAATTAGTAGAGGACTATGTGCCCTTTTTGGTAGTGTCAACCAGTCCGCCCGTGGGTCCCATATTTGATTTAAGTGCGGGGATAAAAAGGGGTGAAAAACAAGTCATTTCTTGCCAAAGATAATATTTGTGACTGGATTTTTCACACAATACATATTTTAAATTGTACAATTCCGAAATTCCGAATTTATTGTTTCAAACTAGATTTTCGGCTTTTGAAACTTCGAAGTAAGTAAATTCAGCCTTGAAAATTCAAAGCCTAAAATCTTGTTTTTTTTTTTTTTTTTTAGCGCTTTTCTATGGATTAATGTTATTTTTATAACATAAACCTTTCCAAATATTTAAATAAATTTATTGTTTGAGTGTTGAGATT